CACTGTGCAAACACGACAGCCCCCTGCCCCGGTAGCTCACTTTGCAAATGCCCCGGCCTCCTGAGATTGCAGTGTGAAAACGCCACCCACCACCCACTGTCCGAACACCCGTGGCCCCCTGGTATAGCACTGCAAATGCCACACACCTCCCCCGATAGATCACTGGGCAAATATCCCATGTCTGATATATCACTGTGAAAACACTCCCCCTCCCCCACTTATACAAACACCCCCGATAGATCACGGGACAAAGGCCACACTCCCCCACCCCGGCATATCACTGCACATGCCAGCTGCTCTGTGCAGGGGCTGGGCCTGGCCCCGGAGCTGATGAGATGTACGGGCATGTGACCCGCTGGTGAGTGTATTATAGGCCCTGCTCTGGGCTGAGCCCTGGAGGCCAGGAGCCTGTGACAGCTGCTCCCTGTGCAGCCCCGGCGGTTTACTGGAAACTCCTGGTTCTGTCTCCAGTGCAGCAGCTGCCGGCCCGGTTCTGTCCATGCCGGGGAAGTTACTGCTCATCCCGGCCTTTGTGTTGCAGCCCTTCTGCCTGGAACTGTCACCGTCACACACGTGCCTGGCTAGCTAAAGGCCTATGGCGCCCATCACCATTGTATCTGGGTGTCTCCTCTCTCCGATGCTGCGATACCTGTGGGACTCGGAGACGTCAGGCTTGGCTCCATGGAACACGCACTGGGGCGTTTAGCTGGCGCCAGCCCTGCAGAGTCTGCATGGGACAGTGAGCGTGCAACAGGCCGGGGCGCTGGTGAAATCACCCCCCTCCGAGCCCTGCCACCGAACCCTGAGAGCACGTCCGCACCACAGACCAACGTGTGGTGGCACCCCAGCACGGGCCGCGGGAGACGGGGACCCGAGTCCCTGCCTCGTTACAGCCTCCCTGTGGGACTGCAGGGCACGGCCATGCTGCAGATGGAGGGGAGATAGGAGCACAGGTGTGCCTCCCTGTGCCAGCTTTCATCTCACGCGTGGGGTGATGGGGCAGCCCTGGGGACCTTGGCTAGGCACGTGCCACCAGCCCTTTGCTGCTATTTGAGGGGTGTAGCAGATGAAGCCGGCGTTACACAGCTAGGTCTAAGTGAGCCGCCATAGGTGTAGGCGAGCTGTAACCGCACCTGCCCGTGCAGCAATCCCCACATCACCTGCCCAGGCCACGCCGGCCGGCAGCCTACACCAGAGCAGGGAACTGGGCCCAGGTCTTCCAGCACTTCAGCCAGTGCCCTGACCACAGCTCTGCCCTTGCCACGCTGCAGCATGCCCCAAAGGAGGTGCAAGTGCCTAGTCCAGAGGGATGGGTGTTAGGGGTGTGGAGCCCTGGGAGGGGGGCGGGGGCATGCTGCTCCCAGCCGCTTTCTAATGGGGCCTTAGGGAGCTGCCCCCAGTTGCAGTGGGCCTGGGTCCAGACACGGTTTGGCCCTGTTGCCAGTTCCCAGCCTCACACCAGCTGCCAGGCGTGGGCTGAGCCCAGCTCTCAACTTCTCTCTGGTTGGGCCTCCAGGAAAGTTGGTGGGGGACATTTCCAGCGGTACCTCAGGGCCACTAGCGAAGCTCTTCGGGCACCTACAGATGCAGAGCTGCACATAAGGGCTTTTCAAATCCCCACTCGGCACCTCACTGTATCTGTAGGCGCCTAAAACCCTTCATAAATCAGTCCAAGAACCTAAACCCCCTTGGCTTTCCCAGAGACTTGGGCTCCCAAGTCACTTAGCTGCTTTTGGAAACATTCCCCTTGGGCCTCTAAAAAGTCCTGTCCTCTGTGCGCTGCTTTCCCCGCCTTGGTGGTTCCTGGCTGGCTGAGCCAGCACCGTTCAGCCAACGCTCCCTTGCCAGCCACTGCACAGGAGGGTTGTTATCACAGATGCTCTTCCACAGCAACAGGGCTCCCTGCGGGTTCGTCCAGATTCCCCGCCGCTCGGCACAGAAACGGTCTTCCCCGGACCTCTAGGAACGTAGGGCGGGTGGGCCCTCTAGTCCTGCCCCTGTGCTGAGGCAGAACCCCAGACCAGCCCTAACGGGCGTCTGTCCATCCTGTTCTTAAAACCTCCACAGCCTGCCTGGGTAACCCACTTCCGGGCCTAATATCTAACCCGACTCTTCTGTCCAGTACTGCAAATTAACCTCATTCCTTCTCATGGCGGCACAGGAACCCCTGGTTGGGGGAGGCTAGTCCCCTGTCCCG